ATTCTGAATTTTTCTTTAAATCTGCTTATTGAACATTTAAAAATATTCTAGACAAAATAATTTATCGATCAATGCTTGAATTTTAAATTTAATTTATGAAATTTTAATAACTATCTAAAATTTTACGCAAAATTATGATTTTAAATATTTACTGTTATTTGCATTAATTGTAACTTTTCACTAAACTATTTAGACTATCAGAAGAAACGATATTACCTTCTTCATATTGAGATAATCTTTTCTTTTTACTATTTATTCATAATACAAAATAGAACTTTTTTTTAATTTAGAAAGAGATTTAAATAAATACAAATACAAAGAGCAATTGAATTGAAAAAAATATTTCTAGTTCACTATTATTATTTAAGAATAAATAATTTTCATTCCAAGTTCAAACATATATTATAACGTATAGCGAATTCCAAAACCAAAATAAATATAACCTGGATTTATCGTTTGCGTAGTAAATTTAAAATATACGAAATTTCAAATAATAAATAGAAAAAAATCATTTGATTTTATTACAAGATTTATACAAAAATCTATGGATTGCTCATGAGAACAAACATTCAATCGTTTGAAATCACAATTTAAAAGATAGATGTTTTAAAAAGGATGAAGTCTATTTTTTTAAAAACTAGATGTTATGATTTATGCACACCACAAAATATCTGGTTTAGTTTTCTGAATTAATGTTATAGTTACTGTCTTATGAAAAACCGAAAAACTTTTCCTAAAACTATCTTAAATTATCTAACTTAATCCAACTTAACTTATTATCTAACTTAGGAGTCCTTCATGAATTCGAAAAGTTTGAAAGATTTTGATGAATAAATATCCTATTTTGAAATTTTTCGAAATTATGCATTATAAACCAAAGCTTTTTCTTTGGAGACTGATCTCACTGCCTGCATTTTTTTAACAGTCTAATGAAAATCTCATAACCATGTTTTTAACGAGCAAAAATAATTTCACTTATCATGTTCTAATTAATATGCGAAATTTTTTGCATGTGAATTATTACATCGAGTGAGAACGGCCGGCCTCATGAACTGATCATTACTTGAAATTGTATCAAAAACACTTATGATACATAACAATCTAACAAATTCACCAGGATACCACATAAAAAAAACGGAAAATGAGGTTTATCGTGCCATCTAACGGAACAGTTTTGTACTAAATAAAGAATAATGGAGGAAAAATATCATGATCTGTCCCCTGAATTTGCTGTAAAATTGTTCTTTTTTTAAATCTTAACCATTCTCGAGTTTCAGATTGGTTAAAGAACCTTAGGACACCAGTAAGATAAAGAGTCCTTAAGTTTATACAGCGAAAATTAAACTAATACAATTGCAAATAATTTAACTTACATATTTTCGAAATACATTATCTTATTATTCAGAATTTTTGAAGCAAATGCTGCCAAAATTACTGTAAAAAATTATTAAAACATGCAATGGAAATTTATTTTGGTGCTAATGAAGTCGATATATAACGCATGCAACACGCAAAAGACTTGAATAGTTTTTACAATTGGGAAAAAAAAATTGAACTGCAAAGAAATGAATTCAACCAGGTAATTGAACACATTTTCCCCCTTCATTTCATTTCACTTGGTCAAAAGAACGACTAAGATTTGAACGAAAATAATGAATAAATGCCGAGGAGAGAATTTATGAATTACCAACAAGGAGAAAACTCCTGCCTTTGTCTAATTTTTCTGTCCACAAAAGGTTTTATTCCCGTGCACTGCTCTTTTCATTAATGATGTCACAATTGTTCTTTTCTTCTTTACCTTTTGACTGCATTCAGAAGCGCCAACAGGAAAAATTAATACAAAAGCTCAAAGGAACAGGAAAAAGTAAGCTTTAATGAGGCTGTATAAGAAATGAAACTAAAAAAAAAGTGTGAGTGAGAAAAATTTAAACATTTTCAATTAATCAAACCCTGAGACTCGTTATTAAAAATGTATGTCTGAAAAACTACTCATCAAGAATAATTTCTTTTCAGATTGAAAGAGGGATAGTAACTTTAAATATTTTAAAATTTGTTTCTATAAAAAAATTGTTTTTAATGAAGAATAGAATTTCAGAAATATATTCACTGAATATATTTTTTCTTTTGAAAAAATAATAACTCCCTTTACCGTAAAAGTTTGATATATATAAGCGTCTAGAACTTTGAATTCAGTATTTTCTTAAAAGATAAATCTTTCAGATAATGTAATAGCACAAAAACCCAAACGGTTTAAAAAATAAAACTAAATTTCTTATCGTCTTTAAAATCTATCTCCTTAAAGAAAATATTTGAGGACACTATTTATATTTTTTGAATTATAAAGAACTTCATTTCTAAGAAAACCATGAAATAAAAGTATATAATCTGCTGGAAAATATATTTGAAAGAGCATCAGTTCCTCAAAATTAAGCTTGAGTTTCTAAAAGTTTAAATTGTTAGTAATTAGATTACAGATAATAAGACAGATTTCGTTGAAAACTGAACAGTTGATACCTGGTAAATTATTCATATAAGTCAAATATGTGCTTAAATAATTCAAATGAAATATAATTTATTGTTGAAAACATCTGTAAAACTTTTTAGAATTTACAATATTGAGATATATTTATCAGTGAAAAAGTTGTATTTTTTTTATAAGAAAAAGTAAAATTTTGTTCCCGTGAATTTTTAACTTCTCTTAATACAGTTGGTACAAACTTTGAATGAAAACCAATAGCACCATCATTAATATCTTCATAAAATCAATAGGAGATATGACAGATAAGTTTTCTAGAACCGCTGCATAGAAAATAAATGATGCCCTCGCTCACAGAACTGATACAATTATGTTCCGTAACTTTTGAAAATTTGGTACAATTCAGAAAACTCCCATTTAAATAAGAGAGAAAGATTCTTGTAAGTCAAGTCTTTTGACGAAAATAAATTATGCAAAGTAAGGTCTGGAAGTACTTTAAAACTTTCTCTATTGTCGAATTCTGAATATTTCAGAAAAGAAATCGACCGTGAAATTGTGTGTGTTCTCATTTAAACGTTTAAAGTATCAATGTTGTATAGAATATTCTGAAAAAAGGGCTATTAAATAACCGAACGAAGTTGATGCGCGACCTAAAATATAATCATCCTCAATAACTTATAATACGTATTTATTTTATAAAAAACCTGTTCCCGTGAAATATTTTATGTCGTCGTAAGAATTTTTGCACCATTAAAATCAATAAGCATGATTTAAAAACGAGAATAAAAAATGGTAAAACTTGCAACCACAGGGAGAAAAAAATCTCATTTTAGGATCGTCTGTTACTCAGGCATCCGGGTAGCAGACGATAAGGAACATGAGAAATATCAACAAGAAAAGAATGATTCTATATAGCCCAAAGGGATACATTATAGCATGAAAGTTTTGTCGAAGAAAAATAGAAAAAAAAGAGAGTGGAAAATGCTATGAGATTTATCTTTTCATGCTCTAAGGGACCATGAAGCATAACTTTGACATCTGAAAAGTTTTCCCTTTACGAACATCATTTTAGAAAAAAGAATTCTTCCGTGTGTTTATCAGTGGTAAATATGAATTTCGTTTAACTCGTTCGGTTTATTGGAATGCCAAATTATATTATATTAACGGGTATTACAATTGAATTGACTGATACCTAAGTCGTTCGATCTTTATAACTACTGCAATTAAATTTATCATAGCAATTTAAGGATAGATTTATTAAGCATTTATAAATTGATGTAAAAAAAATAAATGAATTTTATTTTTCATTTGCTTTTTTATTAAGAAAATAAAAAAAAACTATAGTTATGATTTGTAATTAGTTTTTGTCTTGAAAAAAATCCTCCTTTATATTTAGCTGTGGTGAAAGTGAATTTCACTTGATTCATGTAGTTTATTGTTACGCATTTATATTCCATTAACGGATATTACAGTTAAATTTATTAATATGTAAGTAGTGTAAACTTTGCAATTACCGCAATAAAATCGATACTCCTGATTTAAAGATAGGTTTTTATAATTTTATTTAAAAAAATATGTGATTTGATTTTTCGCAATATGTGATTTGATTTCCTGTTTAAGAATGAAACTACCCTTTCATTTATAAACATTAATAAAACCTTCAGTTTAGTCGCGTAAACTCCGTTAGAAAGAAAACCATAATCTAATTTAATTATTTATTATCTATATGTAAACACATTTTTATAGAAATTTTTATGCATAGTACGTAAGAAAAAATTGGTACTTGGTATGCATTTTTTTAACTATGAACTATGAATAACACTCAAGAGCTTTTTTTAATGCGTGATACATTGAAACCTATCTATTTTTTCTGACAATTATTGGTTTTACAGAAAACATACGAAAATTGATGCAACAAAAGATTTATTTATGATTTTAAAGTTACCTGTCAGTGAATCTAAATTTATTTATAAAAATTAACAGCAAAAATGCAACAGTAAATATTCTTGCATTCAATCATTGTCATTTTTACATGTTCTGTTAAAAGTAGTAGTAAAAAAAATTGTTTGGCGAGCTTTTAGAAGTATTTAATAGCAACGGTTTTTTTACAATTGTTTTTCAGTACTATTATTAAAATGGCGCTTTTAAACAATCAATTAAGTAGATTTATTATAGTTGTAAAAAAGCAAATTTTGTAGTAAAAAAAAGAAAAAAAGGAAACGAGCACTCTTAATTTTTTTGCTGCGTAATTACCGAAGAAATAATGTATCTCTCCGAAGTTTTTGAAAATTTGACAGTGCTTTAGGATCTAATTTTAAACACCTGTTACCACAACAAAGCAACCTCCTTTAAGAACAAATTATAAAGTATTTAACTTAGTTTTTTTTTTAATGAAACGAAGACACTTTTTGGTAATTTACAGCAATTTCAAAGAACACATTATATGAAATAAAATGGAATAGAGTAAACTGTATAAAGTGAAAATCATGCAATGTTAGAGAACTAAAAATTTAAAAATTCTTACTTTCATTTATAATATTCACTATGACCAATGCTGTGCAAGCGAGAAATAAAAGGAAACATAGAAGTAGTAGAACTCTTTCAAAGCTTGACCTCCGGTTCCACCATTGGCAGTTCCTGTGGACATAAAAACTATTTTAATTCTTTCATATTTATTCATTTAGGGGAGAATCGGGTAGCCTCGTCCACTTAAGGAGTATTGCTTATATTTCTGTATAATATTGAGTAATAATCAATATTTTTGTATGTTTCTATTGTTTTATCATCTAATTAAATAATGCAAAAAGAATAAACCAAAAAAAGAATAGTTTAACTTAAAAAAATAGAAATTTAAAAAAACATGTTTTTCAGCTCTTTTCAAAATGTGTCGGGTAGCCCCGCCCAGTTACAAAAATTATGTTTTTTGACTGTTTTTTCAGGTGTAAATGAAAATGACCAATGTATTGACAATAGATAAACCTCATTTATCATTTTTATCACAAAATTATTTTATTTATTACATATTTATATACTTTTAGTGAATTCTATCATTTAATAACAACAATTGTCATACTTTTTATTATTATTAATGTATATTAATAGGTTGTTGTTAAAAATGCATATAACATTCAAATTTGAAGCAATAAAATAATAATCTTTGCAACCGTACATTTATCGACGAAATAAAATTGGGCGGTGATACCCGACATTCATGTGAGCGGGGCTACCCGAAATCCAATTTTTTTGTAAATTTGTAATTACTCGAACAATTTTTCACATATAAACTTCTTTCTTTGTGCAAATTAAACTTAAGACTACATACTTTAATGCTGTATGTATAGAAAAAATTATTTTTTTAGTATTAAAATGAAGTTTAATCGAAACATTCAACCAATTTTTCTTAATTTCATGACTACTGTATTCAACATATTTTCAAAACTATTGTTTACCATGTTACCAGCTGCATAAATACTTGAAACTTTGAAAATAATCTTTTTTTAATATAACAATTAATGTCCGATGGCCCATTGACTTGAAAAAATATTCTATGCATATGAAATTGACAGTGGGCGGGGGTACCCGACACTCCCCTATAGTTTGTAAAAAATAAATTCATGATAAAAACTAAATGTGACATTCATCTTACTTTGTTTTTAAACATTGCAGCTGTTCACCTAAAAATTAACTAGTCTATAATTAAAAAGAAAAAATTTATATAACGTCGCTTGATTGCCTATAGTTATCTAATTACCTAATAGGTAATTAGATATACCTATGACCTGTCTTGGTTAAAAAGCTGACATCATTATACACAGTTTTGGGTTGTATACTCACTTATATAGTATACCCGCTTATAGTGGCTAGTATACCCTCGTATATTGATTTGAACTTTTTTTTCATTATACCCAAAAAGATGAAACACAATTAAACGATTTTGGTATTAGTCATTTTTTCTTCAAATCATTGACTAGGTCACTTTTGGCAGGCCTCAGACCTTTTGACTAGATCACAGTATACCAACGAGAAAAATTATGAAAATTATAGATTAAATTTTTGGTATTGGCACCCACTGGTCATTTTTACATTTATTGCGTTATAATTTAAGGCAATACAATCTATACAGTCTTAGCTCATTTGCTCATTCAGGAGCAAGCATTTAACGGCAGCGTTTCACGAGCTAAGTGAATAAACATTTAAACTAATACCTAGATGAAAAGCCAAAAGCCCTGGCATCAAAATAACTCGAGAACTCATTGGGCCAATATTCACGAATCTTGGCTCAACAAGATTTTAAAGGGCCATTATTTTGGCAATATTGGACCAATGTAGAAACGTCCAATTCATCCGTTATTTTATAGCACTATTCAGCCGATGTTTACCCTGTATAAAATTGTCAAATTTGCCCGATATTTTATTGTCCTTATTTACACAATATCGACTCTATATAGATTTGTTAAGTTCACCCGATATTTTATGGTAAAGTTATTTTATGTGTTATGCATTTAGCATATCTATATTATGTAATGATAGCTGGAAAAATTTTGAATTATAAGGTATGCAATTTTTTTTACATCATTTTAAATAGTGTAGTTTTGCTTGGAAAAATATTGAATTTGAGCAAAATTGGTCAAATAGTTCCTGAGTAGTCAAATTTTAAAAAAAATTGTGTTTTTTTCTAGTTTTTTGTGCACTGAACAAGTGTGTTTACAACTAAACAAACTTGTACAGGGGCAGTCTTGGGGGCTTTGCTTACAACTAAAACTATTTCTTGCAATTTAGTTTTGATTCCTGAAGAATTGATTAAAAAAGATTGATACAAGTGCTTCGCTAAAAACTTTTTACTGCTATTCATCAGACAAATATTAAGAATTCAGTTACCCATGATTACATCAGAAATTCAATTTTTATTTATAACGTAAAAAATTCAATTTCGGTAACTAAGATCAAAAACAAAAACTTGACGTCTGTTCTCTAAGCTTTACATCATTTTAGATGTATCTTATTTATTTTCTATTGGTTAAAGAAATAAAAGAATAAAGAGTCGCTTTTCCAACTTTTCGGAAAATTGCTTCCGTTGAAGAGCATCATTTTTCAGAATTGTAGGAACATTTTCTGAAGAAAAGTTTTAAAAAATAAAATTTTTCTATTAAGAAAGTATTTTTTCTTTTTCTTTTTAAAGAATTTAGTTTTTGTTTCGAAAAACGGCTTCATAAAAAAAAATATTTTTATAAATATCATCGATGAGTTTGGAAGTTTTATAACAACACTGTAAAAAGTTTTGGTGTACAGTTGCACCATTTTTGTGCTGAGATAAACTAATTTTTCTGTAGTGCATGTAGTCGCATTTTTTTTATTTTTTTTCATAGGTAGGGTAAACTTACCAGTGTAGGAATACTTAAGCTTCGCTTGCCTTTCAAAAAATCATATTAATTTCGAAATTCGTAATTTTTGTTAAGTGACAGTGTCAACATATTTGTTACTAATTGCAAATTATGTAAAAAAATTGTAGAGAACTTACATAATATTGTTTTAAGCTTTTGGAGGTTCAAGTAACAAGTAGTAAGAAGACCAAGTGAAGGAACACAAAATTTCCCAGTAAAGGAACACTTAATTTTGGTTATTTTTTAATGCTCTTTATGAATTTATATGTCATACAAATATCTAAAAACAAGCCTCTTCTCGAAATTATAACATGCCAATACTTGGAAAATTTCAACTTTTTTTTGTAATCATGAATTGAAAAGTAAAGTGTCAACATATTAACACATACTGTTCATTCACTGGGAAATCAATGCCCAGTAAGGGAACATGCCTGTTCCTTCACTGGGAAATCTATGCCCAGTAAGGGAACATGCTTGTTCCTTCACTGGTTAGAAGTTATTTTTTGTATTTTTAACATACTTTTGATGTAAGACATCACTAAAGGTACATGAAAATTAAAATTTTTCTTTCAATTTCATTAACTTAGAAAAAACCTAGTAAAGAAACATTTGTTCCTTCACTGGTTTTTCATCGTTTGGTGATCCAGTGAATAAACATCCCCTTATCTCAGTACTTGATTATGCTATGATGCTTAAAAAAAGTAAAACGTAACTTCAATAACTATATTTTGAATTCTTATTTACACAGTGAGAAAAATATAACTACTACATGCAATTAATTCCATTTCAAACATATAAATACAAACACTCACCTTATAATTTTTTCAAGGAAACTAGGTGTTGCAGAGATAATAACAAATTTAAAATTTTTTCCCGAGAACTCTATGTGACCAGGTAATCCAGAACATTACTAGATGACTTCCTATTGTTTGGCAGTAAGCTATTGTTACCAATCAATCTTAAGAAAAACTTTCAAATTCTTATTTTTAATCAATATATATGAAATGTTCCTTCACTGGTTGGTTTACCCTATAGTTTATTTATTCATTCCTTTTTTATTTGTTTGTTTACTAACAACATATATTTTAATGCGCATTCACTGCAAAGACATTTCGTTTAAGAAACAAACAGATTTATAGTAAAATATTCTCATAAATTACTACAAACAATTGTTATTTTGTCGATTTTATATAATGCTTTACCCGATAATTACAGTTCTGTTCTTAAAAATGTATTTAGTTTACCTCAACACCAAACACGGTGGCAACTATACACCAAAATGTTTAATTTAACAGCAATAATTTGTCGTTGTAACCATCAATACTTAAAGTTACCTAATTACATAATAGTTTCAGGAACACTCAATACATGAAAATAAAATAAAATATACACTGTTGGAAATTTTTCATTCAGAATTTACGGTAAAATACCCGGCAGCAGTTTGTTCCTCCGATTAACCATAAAGTTTATGGTTAGAAACATTTTTTTTTTACCTTTACGGTTTTAAAACCGTTAACAACTGGAACGGTTAAAAAAACCGTGAATACAAAACTATACGGTTTTATAACCTTTCACAACTAGCATAGTTTCTAAACCATAAAAATAAAACTTAAACGGACATTGGAGCTCAGTGTGTGCTGCGTCATTTATGCGTGAANTACTAATGCTACCTTTGAATTAAAATGTTACTTCAAAGACATTTCGTTTAAGGAACAAACAGATTTATAGTGAAATATTCTCATAAATTACTACAAACAATTGTTTTTTTGTCGATTTTATATAATGCTTTTCCCGATAATTACAGTTCTGCTCTTAAAAATGTATTTAGTTTACCTCAACACCAAACACGGTGGCAACTATACACCAAAATGTTTAATTTAACAGCAATAATTTGTCGTTGTAACCATCAATACTTAAAGTTACCTAATTACATAATAGTTTCAGGAACACTCAATACATGAAAATAAAATAAAATATACACTGTTGGAAATGTTTCATTCAGAATTTACGGTAAAATACCCGGCAGCAGTTTGTTCCTCCGATTAACCATAACGTTTACGGTTAGAAACATTTTTTTACCTTTACGGTTTTAAAACCGTTAACAACTGGAACGGTTAAAAAACCGTGAATACAAAACTATACGGTTTTGTAACCTTTCACAACTAGCATAGTTTCTAAACCATAAAAATAAAACTTAAACGGACATTGGAGCTCAGTGTGTGCTGCGTCATTTATGCGTGAATGATAATTTCATAT